GTGGATCACCAGTGGTGGAAACTGTCAAGGCTGATTGGAATGGGGAGCCCGAGGCCAGGGCCACCACCTTCCAAAGTAATCTAGCCTTCAACATCTCAAGAAATCAGGCTGAAATCAGGCCCCACTGTTTTCTCAGACCCAGGGGCAGGGATGGAAACAGTGACAGACAGGAAGACACTGCTCAAGAAATGTCAATGGTTTCCTATTGCTTCTAAGATAAAAGACAAACTCGTCTCTGGGGTTGACAATCTGACTCCAACCCGTCTTTCTAGACTGAAGCCACATCATTTCCCATGCCTACATTCCATCTTGTGTCTCTGCCTCGGCTGTCTCTCAGTGTCTACCTGCGCTTCACACAAGGGCACTGTTCCCTCTTGCCTGGGCGGGCACTCCCTGGACACTCTGCCTGGAAGAGCCTCCCTCTTCACCTCCCTTCGGTGGGATTCATATGACTCGTAGGGGAAACCTTTTCTGATCTCACCCGTTGTTAATGCTCTCTCAGATGCCATAAACTACTTTGTATTCACTCTATAGATATTCATTTTATCTATGTACATGTCGCTTCCCTCCCTCTCAAATGTGTGCTCTTTGAGGGCAGGGATTGTTTGAGCTTTGTCTAGGTATCTCTAGCACTCAGCACAGTGCCTGGCACGTAGTATGCACTCTATAAATGTTTGTTGAATCACACACACACACACACACACACACACACACACACACACACACACACACCCATGCATTCATGGATATCCACAGATAGAGGACACATTTTAGAGAGAGGACATTAACAAATTGGAATAGGTCCAGAGGAGAACTAGTGTGTAATAAAAATAAAAGAGATAAATTAATTACACCAGAGATAGGAACTGAGGCAGAGGCAGAGGCAAAGATGACTAGGTACTAGGACTGTTGGTCAACAAGCCGTTTATCAAGCACCTACTATGTGCTAGGCACTGACTAAGCAGTAGGGATACAGAAGAAAGGCAAAAGACAATCCCTGGCCTTGAGAAGCTCAGTCTAATGAGGGAGGCAATGTGCAAACAGCTACCTACAAACAAAAGGGCACTTAGGTGGCACGGTGGATACAGTGCTCAGCCTGGAGTTAGGAAGTCCTGATTCAACTCCGACCTCAGACACTTCCTGGCTGTGTGATCCTGGGCAAGTCACTTAACCCTGTTTGCCTCAGTTTCCTCATCTGTAAAATGGAAAACCCCAAATGGAGCCACAAAGAGTAGGACAGGAATGAAACAACTCAGCATCAACAAACAATGTACAAATGAGGTATATACAGGACAAATTGGAGATAATCAACAGGGGGAAGGCCCTGGCTTTAAGGGGGACTTGCAAAAGCTTCCTGAAGGAAGCCAAGGATGCCAGAAAGCAGAGATGAGGAGAGAGAGAAGTCCTGGCATGAGAGAGCCAGTGAAAAATGTCTGGATTGGAACTGAGGCTGGGACAGACATGCCTCATCCCCAGAAAAAAAGGAGCCCGGGAGAGAGAGAGAGAAAGGGGTTAGATCCCTGGGAAGAGGAAGCTTGGCTTGGGCTAGTGTTTGGTGGTGGGTGGAAGGGAAGAATTGTCTCTAAGAGCCTGAGGGGTGGCTGGTCCCCACAAGCCTATCCAACCCCTGAGCTCTAAAGGGCTTAAGCCCTGGGGAAAGAAGAGAGCCCTCTCTCAAGCACTTCCTCAATTCAACCCAAAAAGCATTCATTCCTTCGGTGATATGCAAAGCATGGTGCTAAAAACCGAAAGGGAAATGGCCTTTGCCGGTTTAGTGAGTGGAGGGCAGGGGAAGGGACGATACGTATTGGAGGTAATTTGTAGGGTGGGAGGGAGAGCCAAGTAAAAAGCTGGCTAAAAGCCAGTAAAAGATGGGATGTTGTTCACGGAATTGCAATTAGCCAATAGGAACTCTTCTTTCCCCCTTTTTCCTTATATCTGATAAGCCTCCTAGTTGAGCCTCTCTCCCTCTCCAGATGGAGAAACTGAGGCCCAGAGAGAAGGGACTTGGTCAGGGTCACATGGTGATTCAAGCGCAGAGTTGAGGCCAGTGCCTCCATCTCTTGGCTTTTCATCTATCCACCCCCCTGATATCTGGGAGCTGCGTCCCCCTAGGACAGGGGCTAGGGGTACTTTGGGGCAGGGGAAGTCCATTACCTGAGGAGGTCAGCTGGCCCAGGGTTGCCACCCAAGACAGGAGCATGGAGATCCCAGGGAACTTCATGCTGCTTCCCAGGGTCCTTGCTGATGCCTTGGTGTAGGACTGGGCCAGGGAAGGCTCCAGTTAAGTAATGTGTGTCGGGCAGGAAGCAGGGGTTGGGGGACAGTTATTGGGGGGGGGGAGAAGGAGTCTGTCCATGCCATCTCTCTGGCCTAGGCTCCTTCCTGATCTCCCTTCTCCACTTCTTCCCTCTCTCTGGTTTGGCTTGTGAAATGTGGGGTATGTCATCACCTCCCAACGGCCCCCCAGGGGCTGCCAAAGGGGTCTGGAACCAGACAGCACCCAGAGCCCCTAAAAACTTGCTTCAGTTCTCAGAGCTCCTTAAGACTTAATTCAATGGCCTAAGCACCCTTGAATCTGGGTTAGTGACCAGGGACTCCCAAACACCCATCTCAGGCTCAGAGTTCTGTGTGACCCACTAAAATATCCACAGTCCCCTGGGGTCCTTCCTAGCACCCAGAGCATTCCCAAGGATCCAACTGGAAGTTGTCTGGAGTCCCTTACTGTACACCAGTTCTAGGAACGTCCCAGAACCTACCCTAGACTCTGGAATCTGCCCAGTTCCCAGAATCCCCCAGGACTCTCCCCAATGCCCAGAACTCCCTAGTTTCCACCTCAGTCCTGGGAACATCCCATAAACTATGCCAGTCCCTAGAGTTCCTTAGTGTCAACTTCAGTATTACTATTCTCCCTTCAAGTTCTATCTCAATCTACAGCCCCCTGGGACCCACCTATGTCAATGCCCAGAGTCCCCCAGGACCCTCCTAATGCTTGAAGCTCCTCATAATCTAACTCAGCCTCAGAGCCTCTTGGGAACCTATCCACCAGAGTGTCCAGAGCACTCCTTGATCAGCCCCAGCATCTGACGTTCCTTGGAATGTTTCTTGATGCCTGGAGTCCAGAACTCCAGAAAGTGACCCAGAGCCCAAAAGACCTGCTTCAGTGCCAAGACCTTAATCTAGCACCAGGAGACCCCTAGAACTTAACTCATTGAAAAAAATACTGCACCCTTTCTGGACCTCAGTTTCCCCATCTGGAAAATGGGGAAAACCTCCCAGTTCTGTTTCCTTAATCTCCTAGAACCCACTGCAATGTCTGGAGCTCTAAAGGAGCCTCCCTCTTCAGTGTCCAGAGCTGACTCAGTGCCCTTCCTCTCCCAGAAGAGACTGCAGTTCTCAAAATCCCTCCAGGCCCCATGTCAGAGTCTAGAGTTCCCTGGGCCTCTCTACAGAGCCTAGAGCCCAATAGGATGTGCTTCAGTGCCCAGCCACTGCCCAGAATCTCCCATGGGAGCTTTGGGCATGGAGGAGTCACTTGGGCCTGAGAATAATGAGACAAGTTCCAGTTCTAGGTCTGACCCTAAATCGCTGTGTTTCCTTAAGCAAGTCCCTTCCCTTCTCTGGTGATGCTTCCCCCTCTGCAAAATTCCTTCCAAATCTGAGAGAAGCTGTCTAACCCAACAGTATACTGTTCTTCATTGACTGTGCTTGAGACTCTTGCTGACAGCTTGTGATTCGGGGGCAGCTAAGTGGCGCAGTGGATAGAGCACCGGCACTGAAGTCAGGAGGACCTGAGTTCAAATCTGGCCTCAGACTAAACACTTGACACTTACTAGCCGTGTGACCCTGGGCAAGTCAATTAGCCCTAAGTGCCTAAAAAAAAAAAACCCAACAAAAACAAACCCTGCTGGATGTGGGCAGCTAGGTGGTGCAGTGGATAGAGCACTGGCCCTGGATTCAGAAGGACCCGAGTTCAAATCGGGCCTCAGACACATAATACTTACTAGCTGTGTGACCCTGGGCAAGTCACTTAACCCCATTGCCTAGCAAAAACGAACAAAAAAACCCTGACAGCTTGTGATTCCAAGATGGAAAATGATATTTTAATTCAATGAAAATCTTGTCGAACTCTGTCATAGGGCCTGGGTTTGAATCCCATTCCCATAATATCTGTATAGCCTAAAGTAGCCATCAAGGCAGCCAGGTGGCTCAGTGGATAGGGTGTCAGGAGTCAGGAAGACCTGAGTTCAAATCCAACCTCAGAAACTTCCTAGCAGTGTCCTCTTGGGCAAGTTACTTAAAGGAAATGTCAAACAACCCCAGTATCTTTGTGAAAAACAAAACCCCATGGACAAAGGTCCATGGGGTCATGATTGAACAACGACAATCTTAGGGTGGGTCACTTCACTTTTTTTTTCATTAATTTATTTTGATTTATCAACAATCACTTCCATCACTTCACTTTTCTGTGTCTCAGATTTCCCATCTTTAAAATGAAGGGGTTGGCCCCTCATTTTAAGGGGTCCTCTTCAGCTAAGTCTGTGATACTACGACCTTTATTGCTGTGCTAATGGCCCCTTCTCCTGGGAGTCGGCATCCCCACCTGTTCCACCTACCAGTGGCTTTTAGGCAGGGTATTTCAGGGAGGAGAGGAGGAAGTTTGGGGATTGCCCCAAATCCAAGTCCTGAGGATGGAAATCCTTGGGAAAGAAGCGCACGGTCCCTATTTCCTCTGCCTTTCAACATTCTAGAAACACCAGCCACAGCCATGGCTAGGGCCCCAACATCCTTAGGTTAAAATACAGGTTATTCATCCTGGCATTCGATGCCTTCACAAGCTGGGTCAGGCCAATGCATAGAAGAACTCTGGTCTAGGAGTCAGGAGACCTAAGTTCTAGTCCCAGCTCTGCCCTGGCTCACTGTCTGACCATGCACCTTTCTGGTCCTCAGTTTCTTCATCTGTGTCATCTTCATCTTCAGCGACTCGCAGTTTAAAAATCGCTGAATTTATTCTATATCATCAAAATGGCAGAAAGCAGGGTTGATTGGTGGACTAGATGAGTTCTAGGGTCCTTTCCAAAAAGGGTAAAGGGCAGAGAGGAGAAAGGCCAGGTTTTGGCTGGTCGAAGAAGTTTCTAAGAAACTGATTGGTGCAATCCCCTTCCTTTCCTTCCCCTTCAGGAGGCCTCTTGGATTTCCTGAATTGGTCCGTTAGAGGAAGCAGCTGGCCGCCCCGCCGTTGGGGAAATGGGGAAATGGTGGGATCTCAGGATCTCGAGCTCATTGCACTAGCAGAGACCACAGCAGAAGCAAGGGGGTTTACCCCATCGACCCTGCGGCACAGTGGAAGGAGTGCTGGGCTTGGAATCTGCAAGCTCTGGATTCAAATTCCACTTCTGACCCCTGCTTATTCAACTATGGGTTTAACTTTTTCTGAGATCGTTTCTTCATTTGCAAAATGGGAGAACATCACCTGTGGTCCCTACCTCCCAAGGTTGTGAGGCTCAAAGGTGATCGTGTGTAGGAAGTGTTTTGTAAACTTCAGGGAGTCATAGAAACATCACTCAAGTGGGGAGAAATCTTACTTAGAGATCAAGAGATCTGAGATTTAGGGATGGCAGAAATATAGACTGAGAGAGGGAAGAAATCGTAGATATCATTGGAGCATAGATTTAGAGATTAAAAAAAATCTTAGTGTTAGATGATAGGACCGTGGATTTGGAGACGGGAGCGACATTGGGGCCACCTAGCTCCTCTCATTTTCCCAGAGGAGGAAATTAAAGGCTCCCTAGAGGTTAAATGGCTTGCCCAAAGTGTAAGCAACAGGTGGCACCATTGTGCATAGAACAGCGGGCCTGGAGTCAGGAAGACTCATCTTCCTGAGTTAGAATCTGGCCTCAAACACTTATTAGCTGTGTGACCCTGGGCAAGTTATTTAACCCTGTTTTCCTCAGTTTCCTCATCTGTCAAATGAGCTGGAGAGGGAAATGGCAAGCCATTCCAAGTATCTTTGCCAAGAAAACCCCAAATGAGATAATGAAGAGTCGGACATGACTGAAAAATGACTGAAATTTGAAACCAGGTGGTCAGACTCCCAAAACAGCCTTCTTTTTAATGTGTTAAACTGAAGTGGAGGGCTAGAGATGGGAAGGACATGCCCTGAATTTCTCTGTAGCCCCAGAGATACTATTTCCCTTGTCCCTGCGGTTTTCGAGTCTGCCAGCTACTCCTCCTGGACTCTCTTAAGAAGGAAGGAAGGTTTGAAGGTCCTTGGAGAAGGAGGAGGAGGAAGAAGAAGAAGAAGAGGAGGAGGAGGAGGAAGAAGAAGAGGAGGAGGAGGAAGAAGAAGAAGAAGAGGAGGAGGAGGAAGAAGAAGAAGAAGAGGAGGAGGAGGAGGAAGAAGAAGAAGAAGAGGAGAAGGAGGAAGAAGAAGAGGAGGAGGAGGAGAAGAAGAAGAAGAAGAGGGGAGGAGGAGAAGAAGAAGAGAAGAAGAGGAGGAAGAAGAAGAAGAAGAGGAGGAGAAGGAGGAAAAAGAAGAGGAGGAGGAGAAGGAGAAAGAAGAAGAAGAGGAGGAGAAGAAGGAGGAGGAGGAGATCCTTAGAAGTCATTCTAATCTCATTAATTAGGTCCAGGGAAGAAGTGGAAGATACAACTGGTCCCAATCAAAACTCACCTGTCCTGTGCCTCCTTTCAGAGCCCTAGGCAAGGAATCAGGAAATGGAATTTAATCCCCACCTGCCACTGACTTGCTAGGTCACGTTGGACAAGTCTCCTTCCCTATAAAATGAGAGGAGTGGGCTAGCTGGTCACTAAGGTCCCTTCCAGCTCTAGACCTGCGTTCCTATGTTCATCTTTTTCCTCCTCTGTTCCTCAGTTTCCCCACTTGTGAAATGGCCCAGTGTGGTGGAAACGCAGCTAGGTTCTATACTCTCCTCCAATTCTGATGTTTTGAGGTTAAGGGTGCTTCTAGAAACAATACCCTACCCCAAAGGAAGTGGTCTACCCCCCACCCCCCTGCACTGCAGGGGAGACAGAGGAGGAAACAAGCCTCCTTCCTGTTTCCAGAGGAAGACAGATGGTTAAGGCTGTTTGGAGTTTGGAATCGGGAGAACTCTCTGGAGACTGGGGCAGTCAGGAAAGGCCTCCAGGAGATTAAGACTTGGGCAGGAACTTGAAAGATGGAAGGAGATAAAAAAGGAAAGATCTGGGACTGGAAGGGGAGACTAACCCCACCTGGGGCTTTTGTCAAAATAGTAACACATTTCTATGGTCCTTTAAAGCCTGTGAAATATTTAAACTTTCCCTGGAGGAGGAAGTGGTGGAGGGC